CATTTAAATAACTCACTCCACAGCAATGTGAAATATTTTAAAAGAACTACCACTTCTGGTTTCTTTGGGAGGCTTGAGAGAATTTAACCGGGGTCAAATTTCATAAATAATTCTCCCTGAGGAGGGGGGGGAGATACAGGGACAACACAAAGAAATTCTATGAAGTGTCTGTTGCGTTTCCCTCATGCAGCCCTGTACAACTTTTGGTGGAGTATCTCCTGCTCTGTAGATGGCATGCTAAAGGAGCACATTTCTGCCAGGTGACAGGAAGTCTCTCAGCAGTAGGACTCAAGGCCTTTGCCAAGCTATCACACACATTACTGGCTCTCACCCACTGCTGCAAGTTGGGCAAAACCTCAAATGTGTGTGTGTTTGTTCCCATCACCACCCTTACAGAACCACAAAGTATCAGGTAAGATGGTAGTTACTTTGCTCACAAGCCACCTAATAAAAGTCCCTGTGTGTTATCAGTAAATACCAGAAGGGGATAAACCAGGCAGGACAGAGCCCCCACACAATGTACTACAGCTGCATTTTCTTTAGCAGGTAGCAATTAACAATTAGTAGATGCAAGATTCATGCCCTGTATTATTTCATCATTGAGTTCCAGAACTGCAGAGTTTCATTGCAGCTCCCCACATCACTCCTAACACCATTTACACCTTTAAGTGTTTAATGGCAACATCTGAACTCCACGGAGATGACAGAAGAGTCAAAATCAGAGATAGTTCTGTAAAACTCAACCTTTGCTCACAAAAGCTGTGACAGAACATCATGCTTTCATAGTTAGCCATTGGGAAGGGCAAACATTACAATGCCTATGTTATTCTTGAACCAAAGACTGTGCACATTATGACACTACTAGTGGGCATCTCAAAATCAAGTAAAGGAACCCAGTCTTTTGGTTCCAATATAGAACCTCTTATGGATGAGAACCCTTTCTGCTGGCTCATCTGCTTAATCTGGTCCGTGTACAGGAGGGGTCCCGCTGAACGCATGAAGAGAGACAACACACACACAACCTGATTACAATAACTTCACACGTTTTTCAGTTTCTACCATTTTTAAAGTCTTTCAGAGTTTGATTCCTCATGCAAAACTGTTCGGTTAAGCAGTTGGAATGTGAACTGAGACTCCTAGAAAACAGACCAGAGGCACCATCATCTTTAAGTGTATCAATTCCACCTGCAGAAAACTTATCAAATTAATCCATCAGAAGCACGGAACAGCTCTACCACACAGGCAAAAAATAAGCAATGACTGTAGACCACATGCAATGCAAGCACAGTACAAAAAAAGAGATATTGTTAACAGTTGACATGACCACTGGCTGCACAGCAGGGGACCGAGTTGTACCTTTCACTTTGGGAAGGGTTCTGACTACAGGCAGATACACTAAGCACGTACGTACAAGCGCAGGCAGGTTAAAACATGAAGATGTTTCCATACACCACATGGGACATGAGATTCTAATCCAAGCCCACAAACACCCGTTTCACCTGCCCATAGAGATGTGAAGTAAATAAGTCTGAAATAACAGCAAGCTGTAAAAGAGCAGCAGCTTGAAGGGTGCATCTTTTACAGTTAGAGAACTCTGGGAGAGCACCTGACTTTCCAGGTCAGCTCAAGTTTTATAGAATACCACCGTGCCACATACAGCATCATGCTGGTTCTTTAGATCTTTACAAAGAGCAACCCAGAAATAGCACACATCTGACAGGAACCAGGCATAGGAACAGTATCAACGTGGAGTTTCCAAAACACCACTAGACATCTAAACAACTTCATCTAAGCCATAACCCCCCAGTTCACTAGCTACTTTTAGAGGCTGAGTAGTTAAACAAGGATAACAACAATTGTAAGACACCTTCCATTTTTTTGTTGTAACATCCATCCTATGTATTTAATTAGAGAATTTAACTGCTGCTTGTCTGCTTTTTAATGAACTGCAATTTCTATTCAAATACACAAGTTATCTTGTAGTGAGTCATTCACCACTTCCTGGCATAATAAGATAGAAATGAAACTGCTAAGTTGTGTCTGCTGAAGTACAAGATGTACAAGGTGGTAGGGCATCCTGCTTAGTGAAAGATTACTAAAGGCCATATTCATTACGAAACACATCTTCTCAGTTACACAAACAAGAAAGAATGTACTTTTTAGTTTACTCCCTAAGGACCTAAAGATAAAATGAAGTTGTAGCTACTACTTTAACTCATTTGAAAAATAGGAACTGAAAGCACTCACTGGAAAAAAAAAAAAAAAAAAAAGGGAGACAGGATTAATATCAATCTTGCAGTTATCCAGCATGCATTTGTTAATTGTTTCACAAAGTTATCATAAACAATCACAGAAATTAAATATTTATGTAGAACAGTCCTTTCAGGAAGAAGCTGGACCAGACTTCAAAAAATCCCATCCAACCAATACCCTCTGGTCTTATAATCTGAACCAAGTTTTTATCTGCAATTTATCTGCTACGCACAAAATGATTTTCTCAAATAATTTCTATAGACATACAGACAATGTATATTTATATTACACATCTGTAACTTTAAAAAGCAATCCCAAAATGTAAAGACAACTCAATAGTGCAAAATACCGAATATAAAGCAACTTAGATCCTAAAAGGTTAGAACATTTTATCAGGTTACTATTAGTCACAGGTGAGCTACAAAAAGAAAGGCAAAAATAAAGATGCAGTTGTTACAAAACTTGTAATATGAATTTAGAAAAAAAAAAAAAACACAAGAAAAACCAGTAGAAACAAAGGACAACACAAAGGAATTACAACAATCATGAACAGATAATTACACAATAACTACTGGCTTAAATATTTATGCAGTCATGTCTAGCATCAAGTAACACTAAAGTGATTTTTTTAAGATCTGTTTTCAAAAAAGAGAAGTATGACATTCACTTCTTACAATGATAAAGGAAATCCTACCTATTCTATTGGTAGTAAGAAACCTAAGATACAACAAGTGTTATTAATCGTATGATGTCATCAGATCTGGAGAACCCAAAGCCAGATTGTTTCTTAAAAGTCAGCCTGAAACCCATGGGCAAGTAATACTGGGGTGCTTACCACCTACTACAAACATTAACAACTTCAAAATTACTATTATTTACAAAAAAGTTTAAAGAGGAAACTGAAGAGAATAGTCTGGCATGAACAACAGTGAGACTTCCCCGAGGAGCTGCTACAGATTTGTACATTTAAGGTTGCTTTTAGATGTGTGAGGGCTGGTTTTCCCCACCATTTCACTCTTTAAAGAACAAACAAAATACCTGGCAATATCCAGCATCAGCCAGGCACTGATTCTTTCAAACTACTGATGACTGTATACAAAGTCTCAACATGTTCTGTAAGATAAGGTATATTAATCTTCCCTTACATATTAGGAGAACCTTAACAGTTTTAAGCTGCAAGAACACAAACCAGTATGAAATTAAATCTTGTGCCAAGGAGAGCAGAGTCAAAACAATAAATACATAAATCAAGCCTTTTATTAGTCAAATTACTCTCAGCAGAAAGAGCTGTCACTTTAACAAGGCATAAGAAGAATGTGTATTACGTGTTTAGCTTGCAGAGTCAGTACTAAAAGAGCAACCTGGACTTTTTCATTAAAGCTATTTCAGCTCTGTTACTGGGAATAACAGAAAGCAGCAATATATGCAGATTTTTCTTTTTTTTTTTTTTTTTAAACTGAAGGCAACTCAACAGGTCTGTGCTAACTGCAAACCAGTCAAATTTGACCAGTAATCAATACACAGCTGAAATTCAGTGTAGCACATTTTTTGCACATCCCCCCAGTTTGTTCTTATGTCAATAGAAAAAAAGATAAAATCAAAACAAACTCAGTGAGATGTAACCAGTAGTTAAGTCCCTCCTTTTAAGATGGAAGGGCCACCATACTTTGCTTATGCAATCTGAACAACAAGGACAGCAAATTTGCTACTGTTTCTTCAATATCAATATCTTGATCTAAAACAATTTTATGAAGCATTTGTGTGATTAGCTAACAATCCAGATTATATGGTAGGTGTTCCCCTCAATCCCAAAAATCAGACTGAGGTAATTAGCAATCCCATACTGCTCTGAAGATGTATTTTAAACCCACTCAACTTCCATGACACAAGCAGCTTTCCACTTTAGGCAGTCAATATGTCTATGACTGAAATGTCATAACAAGTGATAAAAAAAACTATTAATAGCTCCAAATTTACTTTTTTTAAATGCACCTACTAATCTCTACTAGTACCAGCTACTACAGGTAAGCTCAGTACTCACACCAAGCAATGCAATAGTTATAGAAAGTAAGAGGAAACTACATTCCTCTCTCCAGCACAAGAAGGTTATTGTGTTCTCATAATGAGGACAAAACAAACAACCAAAACCCAAAGTAAACAACACTGTCTAGCCAACAATGGCACAGCTAAGCAAAATCAAATCCCTAGGAGAATACAGCTTAGAAACCAGAGCATTGTAAGAATGCACAATTCAAGGCAGTATGGTAAGGCTATGGGTTCGTCCACTGTGTTTTTTGATACCACCACAAGCCATGCCAGAGAGTTCATCTAAGAGGCAGCAGTAACTTCACTCACTCACTTCCATGTTCCAAGTTTTCTAAACACAATGTTTTGAACAAAATTAGTCTCTCTTTTATGGTCAATGGTTAAAACAGAAGGCATCATTTTAAGTTTGGGTAATACAATAGAGTGGGTCCAATTTAATCACAAATAATGATATTAAGTTACAGCTCTGGCTAACAAAGACTGCCAGCTACATACCCATAACATCTCTACCTACAGATTTCATAACACCTGTTTGAATTCAGCTCCCACTTCTGTAGATCTCTCAAGACACTACATAGGAAACGCTTTGTCCATTTAACTAGGGAAAACTGAAGAAAGAGGAACATGCTGTAATTTAAGCCACACATACCAGACTCATTAACAAAACACAGCAGGGTGCTTCTGGTAGGTCATTTACTTACCTCCACTTGCTGATTCTTGCTCTTCCCCTTCAGGAAACGTAGCCTGGCTTGGTAAACTATTCCTAGATCGAGTGACTGACTCTAAGTGTGAAGCCCTTCCCAACAGAGATAGCTCATCTAGCACCTCTCCTTCTTTGGCTTCCAAATCAGATTTTGAAGTGGTTAACTGTTTTATGTTACCCGGTGCCATTAAACTATTTGGGTCATTTAAACAAGCTACAGTACCACTGTCCAGGCTTAACACTCTGGCACGATTCTTGGCACTGTTTGTGCTAGAAGTCCGACGTGTAGATCGTTTTTTGCTAATGCCTTCAGAGCTGACGTGGGTTTTGTGAGCATTTTCAGGGTCTGTGCCCCCACGTTCTTTAGAAACGTACTTGGTCTTTAAAGCACTGTACTTCCCCTCGGGAGACTGGCATGAATGGGAGGTGGTGCTGGAAGAGCTATCACTGCTGAATTGGTGAGCTGACTGCATACTCGATGTCCTGCTCAAGTCACTTTGATCACTGGAGTCCTCATCGTGACAAAACACAGCACTGTGAGGTTTAGTACCAGATACACCTCGGAAGGAAACATATTCCCTGTGCCGACTGGAATCAAAACTACTAGCCCGCTTTTTTCCTGTCCTCCTCCGGCTGGGCTTGTGGGTAGAGGCTGTTCGATGGATTAAACTAGAAGATTTTGGTCGAACATCTCCTTCTTTTTGTTTCCCACTCGTTTCTTTAGAAGCTCTTGAATCTACTAACATAGCTAGTTTCTCACTCTGCTCATCTCTTTGTTCAGCAGCCTTCCCAGGCGGCCTGTCAGGTTGCGTAGTCAATTCATTGGCATGCGGGTTCTTATTGGCCTCTTCCGAAGCAGAGGCACCAAGACCCTTCTGACCGTGCATCTCGTCAGATGCGTTCGAACCCTTTGCCTCCTGAACGCCACTGTTAGTGCTCACTTCCACAGCAGTCCTTTCGCTACTAGTCCTTTTGTCAGTAGAACTACTGTCATCCTCTGAGTCAACACCACGGTCCTTTCTCTTACCATCCTTTTTCTCTTCTCTAGGAGACTCCTCCTCGTGCTCCGACAACACACTTTCTATGTGCGTTGAGCTCGTGTGTTCACTTTTATAGCTACTGATGGTGCTGTTAGTGTCACGATCAGTCCCACTGCAGTAGCTTTCTGTTGAACCACTGCTTCTAGTACTCAGGCTTCTCAGGCTGTCCACACTTTTGTCTGCTTTCAAGGATTTGCCCTTCCCACTCTTAGCCAATGGTTGAGGGCTGCTACTTTTCAGAATGTCATCTAATTGAAAAACTCCTGAAATGCAAGAGTTCTCGGCCAAGGACTCTCTGGATCCAGAAGGAGGCTTGGAAGCTTCTAACTCGCTGACAGGATCTAGTCCTCGTTTTTGCTGATAGAGAGGGAAGTCATTTAGTGAAGCATCTGGAAAAGCGACAGCAGAGCTAGAAGTCCTTGGTACACCTCGTGGTCTATGATCCTTCCTATAGGAGTGAGAATGCAGAGTTACAAGGGAAGCTACTTCTGTGTCACATGCGCCGATTTTAGACTGGTCCACAAGCTGGTTGTTCGAGAGGCACACTTTGTCACTGCTGTCTCTTGGCAAATCCTGTCCAGAGGATAATGAAGGTTGGATGGAGACAAACGAGTCATTCGACACCAGACGAAAAAGCTTCCGATCAGTTGCCAAATCTGTTTGAGTACACATTTAAAAATATTCATGTAGAATGATCATGTAAGTTCATGTAGGATCTGCTTTACAACCGCTTGCTTCTATCAGACAAAGTAAATAAACTGACAAAGCCGTTTGCATCACATTAGCAAAGGTTTCCTAGCATCTAGGCAAACCTGACAGACTTTTTAATATAAAATAGAAGCTATCAACACCACCTTGATCTTAGCAGCTAAGACAATTCTGACAAGTCCCCAGCCTCCTCTATTGCTCACGTCTCAGACTTAATATTTTTATGTATCCCGAAGTTTCTTAATGATAAAAAGGTACCCTGCATTTTGTTTTATATCCTACATCCAAGTAAATTGTTTCACAAACTTCTAAATTAAAAACCACAAGGTAAATGTCTTTAAAGTCGCCAAAAAAAAAAAAAAAATCAAGACAAATCATCTTTCTGATCAGATACTAAATTCACAAGAATGCAGGCATTGGCCTGTTGGTACTATAATGAAATTCCCTACAAGGTTACTGAGTTTTACCTCCTCCAAAACTGGTGCTGTTAAAACAAATCATGAGGGTTTACTGTTTGCTCTTGGTCAGAACAATTGTTTCTGTTACTCCTCACAAGTGGCCTCCTGTGAAAGGGTCTGCCTGCAGGTAGTATTGAAAGGCAGGATACTTTCCTTTTTGGTACTGTCTGGTACCAAAAATAGAAGATCTGGAGGCCAAGTTAAGTTACTGCCATTGCTAATTTTTTCTACAGTGTATTTGCACACTTGTAACTTAGGAGACTTCAGCAGTTCTGTAACTCTGTTGAAAGCAGCAGAACTCTCCTGCCTATTACAACAGCACTGCCACTTGTAATCCTCAATTTTAAATGTACTGTGTCATTCAGTGCAGAAAGTAACTGAAGGGAACCCGTCGGTCTGCTTATATTGGCCAAGATGAACTATAGTATTCCCAGAGTTAGCTTCCTGCTAATCATCAGGTACTTTAAAAATCAGC